TCTTTCAGTTAAGGGATAATCCAAATAAAATAATCCAGTATCATATAATCAGTTCAGTACTCAAAAGTTTGCTAACGGTTGCAAAACTTACAATAGCTCACTGCACTTTCTAACAGCCAACTCAGATCAGATCAGCCCAGCATCTAACAAACACAGAGCTAACAGTCATTCTGGCTCCCTCTTATGGCCAATTTAGGAAAACAGCAACCAATCACATTTTACAGTATGTTTTAAAGAAACAGGTACAGCATTGTTACATGATTTATATATTGCCAACCCAATATATAGATTATATTCCTAACAACAGTCTAATAGAAACAATGTGACAAAATAATTAGTAACATGTTTTTAAGCCTAGAATGCTGAAGTTCTATTTATGCAACAATGAGCTATTAAGTGAATATATATTTACTTGAGCTTGTATCAGCCTAAATATATATTGGCCAGTGACAAAATATAACAGGAAAAATAAAACCTTGAAATTATGACACTTCAAGAATGGGTAGGTTGGCCTTTAAGGTGTCAGAACTCTCTTTGGTATATATACTTTCCAAAGATATCCTTTAATAAACATTCTATGTGCCGAGTCTCTCTATGCCTGCTGCTCTTGCACTACTTCTTTGAGGTTTCTCTATACTCTGGCTTGTGTCAGCTGCGATTGTGAAACTTTTTTATGCTAATCTTAATTTGATTAAGCATCTGAACTCCATTTTACAATGAGACACAGGCCTAAAACGTGCTGTTTAGCAAGCTTTCTATCTTTTCTATCTCTTCTATGGAAAAGCAGGACAGCCAGGCAATTAAATTTCTGAATAGATAGAACTCCTCCCTTGCCTCAAAGTTAAATCAGTGGGATTAACTTTTGTTTTTTAGAATTCTATCCAGGATCAGCAACATGGTATTGGGGAAAGAAAAACAAGAAAGACCACTCCATGTCAAAAATTTTCCTGTGTTTAAGAAGGAAGTGTGGAAGTCCAAATATCTTAAAATTGCCAAGTTTGAAAAACATCATTTCTCTTTGCTATTTGATTCTTAATCACATTTCTCTTTGCTGTTTGTTTCTTAATAAGCAGCAAACACTACTTCAGTATAGATGGCCTTGGCATTTGCTGCCACTGTTTCCTCAGCCAAGAATGTAGGAGCAAGATTGAAAGAAAGAAATGCCTTTTCTATTAATTGAAATGACACAAGGGTAGCCTAATCCGTAGTTAATCTGCAGCAATTGAGCCCTAGATTACAAACTCCTAAATCAAAACGTTCAGGCCAACATGACTAAAGTTGGGGAGAGTTTTGATTTAGGAGTGTGTAATCCAGAGCTCAATTGCTGCAGATTAACTACGGATTACAAAGATTAGGCTACCCTTGTGCCATTTCAATTAACAGAAAGGGGAAGGCATTTCTTTCTTTCAATCTTGCTCCGATATTCTTGGTTGAGAAAATAGTGGCAGCAAATGCCAGGGCCATCTATAACTGTTTCATCTCCTAGGCTGACCTTTTGGTGATGCTCAGTGGGAGAAAGTCTCTGACAATTATGGTTTAGTTATTGCAATGCAAATAGATAGAAAAGAAGCCCAAGGTCAGTGTCTAAGGCAGCTATTTGCCTTTAGAAAGAGGAGCTATTTGAAACTCACATTGTGCCCATGCCTTTTCTCACTCCAGGGAGCCACGGCTGATTCTAATGCTCTGGTTTATGGAAGGATAAAGGAAAAAGTGACTATAAAAGGAAGTGACAGACTGAAACCAAAATTCAATTTAGAACATCAACCACTGTCATTCATCACTATGTGAAACCGCTGCTACAAAAGCATTAACAATCCTGCCTTTCCTTTTGACAGCTCAGCTCCTGTCTTTCTCTTTTCCAGTAGGTTTTTCCATCTCCTCCTAACTGCACCATTCCACTAGCAACCAGTTGCAGAGCCATGGGAAAGACATGGTTCTCGGCTTCTTTGATCTTTGCATATAAAGTCTCCTGGGTATCTTCTACCTTTACACATGCCGGCTCTTGTACAATTATTGCTTCAGGACTGGTCTCCTCCTGAAAGAAAGAGAAGGAAAAATCCCTTATCTGGAAAATTATCTACCAAGATTAACGTGAAAGTGAAATAGCTAAAAACAGAGCAGTATCACTGAAACTTACTTTAATTATACAAACAATAGAAATGTTCACTAGGATATGAGACAATGAATTAACAGAACATTTAGAAATGGGACAGGATATTTAAAAGGATATTTTATTTAGATAGTGCATGAAGAATTTTGCTAAGCATGAAATCAAGACAATATTCCTCTTTCAATATTTATAAAGTAGCCAGAGCAAAATACTACCTTCCATATTAACAAGTGTAGGTGGAATTATAGTCC